ACATATATCTTAATTACTTTTACATTCAACTTTTATAAACAAACCAATATTCAAATTTAAATTTTAATATTTATACTTCCAAATTTTAAATGACCAAAGTTTTCTTTATCTCAGCTCATGACAAAATCTAGTATTCAAAGTACACATCTTGTCTATTTGAGTGTGTTCTATTTTAATTCTCACTAATAAGTCAAAAACCACATTTTCTTCAGCCTTATTCTAGCTTTCTTTCTTTGTCAACTCGCCTTCCTTGTTTTCCCTGCCTCTCATTTCTGCACGCCACAGAAGAAACACGGACTTACCCACGGTGAAGACTGGCTTCCGGTATGGAATAAACCCAAAGGTGTTCCCTCTGGCGTAGAAGAGAGGCAGGGAGAATCCCATGATCTTCTGCAAACGGTCTTGTGTCCACCTCACCCAGGATCCTTTGGGGTTTTCGACCTGATCGTACAGCTCATTCTCTCCGAAAGAGAACACGGGGACGAGCGACGTGCTAGGAACCGAGACGAACCAGAAGGAGAGATGGAACCAAACAGGTTGAGATAACCGAGGAAGGCTGGGTGGCTGCAAATAACGGATTCGAGCACTCTTTCTCAAGCTTTGCACATTGAAGGGAAACACGGTAATACTTCACGTGATCAGTGGTGGGATTCAAATAGGTAAACAACCGGTTCTCTACATGGATGCCGCTTCCGGAAGTCCATTCTGGGCCTGGGCAACAAAAAATTAGCAACCGGTTCTGCCAAAGTGGTGTGAACCGGCTGAATCCCACCACTGCGTGTGATGTACATTATACAAGAAGATCAGGACCCCGCCCCCCAGAAGCTGTTCCTACTTACCCATTCTCTATGGCCAGCCGAACGAAGCCCTTGCGGTTCTCTAACACGAGGGTGTAAGCTCCGGGACGGGCTTCTAGGGCTTCCTTGGCCCCTCCCACAACTATGATTACGATATTCCCACCTTCCTTTTTCCTCAAGACATAGGAAATAGATTCCTTGTCTGAGGGAATAAAACCTGGGTAACGCAAAGCAGGAAAAAGAAGAACATTAAAGCCCTGTACAACACACACACACACACACACACACATTAAATAGCTTTAACAGAGAATAACAGAGCTGGAGGGAACGTTGAAGATCATTTAGTCCAGCCCCCTGCTTAAGCGGGTGGTAACGGCAGACTGGGTGGGACTGAAAAGTTCAATCAATCAATTCCAACTTTGCAAGATCTTTTTTTTTTCCGTGAGAAGTTGAAATTGACTGATTGATTGAACTTTGGGTTTTTTTGCACATGGCAATGGAGGCCTAAACCGAAAAGGTTTTATAAAACCCAGCTGAAGGCCTAGGACTGGGGCAATGGCCCGCGTGCCCACAGAGAGGGCTCTGAGTGCCGCCTCTGGCACCCGTGCCATAGGTTCGCCACCACTGAACTAGGATGATTAAAGGCCTAGAGACAAAAACATATGAAGAACGGATTCAGGATTCATGGGTATGGCTAGTTTAAAGAAAATAAGGACTGGGGCGGACATGATAGCAGCATTCCAGTATTTGAGGGGCTGCTACAAGGAGGAGGGGGGTCAACTTATTTTCCAAAGCACCAGAAGACAAGACAAAAAGCAACGGATGGAAACTAATCAAGGAGAGAAGCAACCTGGAATTAAGGAGAAACTTCCTGACAGTGAGAACACTCAACCAGTGGAGCGACTTTCCTCCAGAAATTGTGGGTGCTCCATCACTGGAGGGTTTGTTTTTTTTTAATATAAAATTTTTTATTATTTTCGAGTATAACAAAATATAAACATAAACTTGACGCTTATAAATACAAAACATCAATGCATAAAAAAAACAATACTTTACAGGTGGTCTCGGCTGCCCCCTCTCTGCTTCCCCCTCTTTCTCGTACCAAACCTTCCTCCCTCTAGACTCTCAACCACTCCACCTTCCTCCTTCCACTCCCTACTTCCCAGCCTCTTTCTCAAGCACCAGCCAGAAGCAGTTTGGGGTAACAGCCAGGATCATCCTCATAAATATACTTCCAGAATAATTAATAAACACATCAGTTCTTATATATTTTTATCCTTTTCCCCGCTCCCCCCCGGACTTCCCAGAACTAAACCCAGGAATAATTACAAAATAATTTTAATCTATCCAAAGCTATCCATTCATACAATAACCAGATATAAACTTACTATAACTCTAAAATACAATAATAAACTTATAAAAATTTAATAATTAATCAAAAGCAAGATGATAATTTCTCAATTCATATTTTTTCTGAATATAGTCTATCCATCTTCTCCATATCAGGATAAATGTCTCCTGTGAATGATCCTTCAGGTATGCGGATATTTTAGCCATTTCTGCAAAGTGTGAGACTTTCTGTCTCCAATCATCCATAGTTGGTAGTATCTTTTTTTTCCAATTCTGAGCAATCAGTATTCTTGCTGCTGTGATGCAATACAACATAAGATTCATTTCTTTTCGATCCAAATTCTCCATAATACCCAATAAGAATAATTGCGGTGTAAATTTTATCTTTTTCCTGAAAATCTGTTGAATATTCCACCATATTTTAATCCAGAAGGCTTTGACATCCCTACAAGTCCACCAAATATGATAATAAGTCGCATCCATATTATCACATCTCCAACATTTTGGCTGCAAATTCAGATACATGCAAGATAATTTTTGAGGATCCAAATGCCATCTGTAAAACATTTTATAAAAATTTTCCCTTAAATTCTGAGCTTGGGTAAACTTAACATTTCTAACCCAGATTATCTCCCAAGTCTCTAACATAATTGGTTCTTGAATGTTTTGAGCCCACTTAATCATACAATCTTTAATTAGTTCTGTTTCCGAATCCAACTCTAATAATACACTATAAATTCTTCTAATATGGGCTCTGCTTTGATCTTTAATCTGCTTTATCAAATTCCCATCTTCCAACATAAGACCCAATTTTTGATCTAAACACCATCTTTCAGCCAATTGATAATATAAGAACCAAGACTGAAGCACTTTCTCTTGTCTCAATTCATCCAATAGTTTAATTTGCCAGTCTTGA